CTAATTCTAAGTAGACCAACATAACCAAAAAAATTCACAATTGGCCTTATTTAACATCCTCACTAGCACATTAGCAATAAAGCTTAAAAAAGATGCGGGGCAGACACACTATATTCCTTATTCACCAAGTAGCACCAAGAAGTTTCTCTAGAAGATTTTCGGTGGTTGGCAAGACAGCTCTGATGAAAGCTTACTGGAGCCTATAAGTGGAGGGGTTTGGGGCTATTAATTGATCAATTTTCAAGGGCACTAGGCTGAAACAAATGCTCATACATTGCTGAGGATAAATAGTACATATATACCTTCTTGTGCGGAGGTGAAATCTCACTTACTGATGATTAAAAATTACAGATTCCAGAAGAAAGATGGCTTATAAGATAGACAACATGAAAGGATCATGTAAATCTGTGGTGTGTTGAATTCAAGTGCCTAGATTTGCATGCCTAATTGGGAAGAACGCTATCTTTGTTGCACTAACCAGGAATCATATATCAAGCTCAAGATTAGTAAAGTCTTTTACTTTGTAGGGATGTGACAAGTTATAAAACCAGACCAAAAAATGTTCTTTTTATATAACTCCATTGGAGAACAATTTGGCAATATCTACCGGAATTACAAACTTTTGACCTTTGATCCAACAATCTCATTTCTAGGAACATATTCCACAGATTTAGTGCAAACATGTAAAAGAACACATGCTGTTTGCTGTAGCAAATGAAAACAATAAAAAAAGAAAGGGAGATGGGGGGGAGAAAAACTCAAATGTCTATCAATAAGATATTGGTCAAATAAATTATAAATTACATCTATAAATGAAATATTATATATTATACTGTAAACAAAGGGTAAAGTGATTCCCTACATACTGCTATAGAGAGATCTCCAAGATACATTTTAAGTGAAAAACAAGCAAGGTGCATGATAATGTATAATATGCTCACTTCGCTGTATAAAAGTGGAATAACAAGGGGGGTGGCCTGGTGGCATGGCGGTTAAGTGTGCCCACTCTGCTTCGGCGGCCCAGAGTTCACAGGTTCAGATCCCGGGCACGCATTGATGCACCGCTTGTCAAGCTATGCTGTGGCGGCGTCCCATATAAAGTAGAGGAAGATGGGCATGGATGTTAGCCCAGGGCCAGTCTTCCTCGGCAAAAAGAGGAGGATTGGCATTGGATGTTAGCTCAAGGCTAATCTTCCTCACAAAAAAAGAAAAAAAGGAAAAAAAAAAAAGGAGAATAACAAGAATATACATATAATTTGCTATTATTTGTGTAAACTCTGGAAAGACACAAGATGGAGTACAGGGATTAGATTGGGATTTTCAATGTATACCTTCTTTATATTATTTGACTTTTGAACCATGTGAATGTTTTCTATTTAAAAATTAAATTTAAACGGTTTTAAAAATACTTCTTTTTGTAAACAAATTGTAATTTAAACCAAACAAAATTTTAACAAAACCAAAGCAATTCATAATGTCCTAGTTGTATTCTCTAATACCAGGGTAAAGCTTACCTCTGCCCTTAAATGTATCAGATATTTCAGAACACATTTTTTTTTCCTCTTTAGTCCGTATTCTTTAATGTCTGCCTCCTCTTATTCCCATTATTATTTATTTAACACCTAATTGTATTACTTATAGTGACAAAGAAGCATTCAAGGATAAAGAGTCTATGAAAGACTCGACAAACTGAAATTGCATTGTAATTTTTTGGCAGATCTAGATCTTGCAGACCATAATAGATAACATGTCTGCTCTATTTTGTAAGCAATATTTATATTCTTTACAAGGCTCTCTTTTGAATTTTAAAGAGGAACAATAGCAGTGAAAGCCTCATCCTTTCCCATGACAAAACCTTTGATACACGCTCCATTAAAGTTTTTTTCTTCCTCTATAAACACCAATTTTTTCACTTGAACACTGATGCCTCCTTGATGGAAGTCTGAGCTGGAACTGAGTGACCTCTCTCACCTTTGGCTGTTTACCGAAACAAAGTTTTAAGGGCTCTAGAATGTCCTCAGGTTAAAAACCAAATTATCAGTTTTCTTGCATAATATTACTGATTCATTTATTCTTGTCAAAAGCACCCATCACAAGTGTCCAATAGGGCATTTTGGAGGAGCAGGGAGGACAAGAGATATACACCAACCACAATTTCACAATTCTGGAAGTGGCATGAGGACAAATTTCAATTTGGATTTACAGCCATCAGCCACATCAGTGATTTTGTAATAGAGCAAATCAATTTAGTAAATGGATATTGAGGAACATCTCATTTTAGTATTTTAGTGAGACATAAAGACTAACAATAAATGTGTGTGTGTGGCGGGTTATGGAGAGCTTCAGTAGTAAGAACGACAGTACAGCTGTCAAGTGCATGGAGTCTGCAGCCAAATTACTTGGGTTTGAATCCTGGCTCTACTGTCATTTACCAACAGTGTGACTTTTAGCAAATTAGTTAACCTATCTGTGCCTCAATCTCCTCACTAGTAAGAAGATGGAGATGATAACAGTGCTGACGTCACAGGGATGTTGTGAAGACCAAATGGGTTTGACATAGGTAGAGCATCTAGAATGAGCCCTGGTTGATAATAAATGCTCATCATTAGTGTTTAGACGAAACGTGAGCATTGAAAATTGTAAGCCTGGATCCCTGGCACTGATTCACACAACCAGCAACTCTATCTGCTATGTCTCTCCTTCCTCCTGGGTTATGAGTTGTTATTCCCCTTTATGTGTGTGCCTTAAAATGGAACGCAAGCCCCTGTTTAGATGCCTGAACCACATTGACAAAAAGCATAAGACAAAGCATTGAACAGTTATTACCAATTCTTACTTTACCTATTTAAAGAGAAGAACTTATTTCCTTTCTTCTAGTTTGCTCTCTATTTATTAGACTCAATTATTATTTAGGTCACTGTTTCAGTGTTTTGAAATAAAGTTATAAAAATGCCAGACTCAGCAGAATAACGCTAAACTATATTAGTAAAAAACTCCAATGTTGTGTTGTTTTCTTTAGTTCAGAGCAAGATGGGAGGCTTAAGAAAATGTTCACATATATTATGTTCATATTTATACGCAAATAGAAATATTTGAACATTTTAATAAATCAGTTTGTTTTAAAAAAAGCTAAATATTTCTAGCTTTATTCTCAAATTTTTGAAGGAAAGGAATCAGAAATTCATTATACTTGAAGGAGATACAATATGGTATGTTATTCCTTTCATGAATTAACTCAATTCCTAAATCTTAGTTACATTAAAAACTTAAAAGTAGATGAAATGACTCATGTTAACATCTATAATGACCTATATACGTTTTAAAGTCATCTGGCTAAATTTGAACTCTGATGTTCTAAGTTGGAGAATATAGATAAGTTCTTTTCCAGAGAAGAGTTGGAAAGAGAAATGTGACTTCAAAGGTTAACCTTCTTGTTTCATATGCATTCTAACAACTGAAGAAAGTCACAGCATTGTTCAGTCCAATAGGTATTGGATATCTTGACATATGTCTACCTTGCAAGTACTTAGAGAAACTCACAATAAATACTAATTAAATAGAATTTAGCACAGAATTTAAAATTACAATTCTCTGAAATTTGAGTGAGATGTAGAAAGAATCTTAAATTTAAACGGATCATGATACTTATGCACTTCTGAAGCACTGAGACAGAAGTTAATAGAGTCTGTCTTCTAAATACAGAAATAAAGTACAGTTTTTGTACCTAAATTCTTGGTACAAGATTAATTCATAACAGTTTACCAGGAAATTATTGATAAGCAGATAGGGTTCAAGTGTCAACTCTAATTCTTGTAGAAAATTATTTTTCAAAGGAAAAAAGTGTCGTTTGAAAAAGCGTCACAAATTTTTAATTCATCAAAATGAGATTTTCATTCTTACTCAAAAAGGGGATGCCAAATATCTCAGAGAGGTTTTTATTCTCAAAAGGATAAAAAGGGATTATTGAGAGCATGTTAGAAGTATAAAACTTTGCTAACACAAAAGCAATAACACATTTCCTATGAATCTTTGTTTTGCAGTTTTTATTTCTAACTTTGGCAAAATCCCAATTAAGTTTTTTACAACGGCTAAACTATTACCAGCTTAGGCCAGTTCCCCAGAGGACCCAACCACAGCACTGATGTCGATTTTTAGCTGTATCAAAATAAACACATCTTGACCCCACAACTCCAGAAAAAAACCAGAACACAAAGAGAAAGTGGACTTGGATTTTTAATTTTTTTAAAGATTATCTATATTATATATATATATATTAATAAAAAGTGCAAAGAATAGACCTTCATGTTTAAATTATATTCTAAAATAAAATACATATTTCCATTAACTGCAGGAGACAACTGGCAAGTAAAGAGCCTGAGAGAGTCCAGTCCCTCTCCATCACTACAATGGACATATATTTTAAGGAAGCACCTATGAAAAATTGAGTGTTCAGAACACATCTGGTAACAGAGAGCTTCTAGGTGTTCTTGAAAGCAGTTTGTTTGCATTTTCAATCTAAAATGAAATGAAGGGAAAATTCAAATTCATAAACAGAAGTGACATTGCTTAGAACAATCTATTATTCTGTATTCCTGTTTTATAGGCCCTGGAGCCCAGCACTTCCCACGGAGCAAGCCACACTCTCACGTGCAGTAGTAAAGCTATCACCAGTGGGCCTCAAATGATGATCAGTTGCCTGCGTGACAAGTGTTCTCTGCTCATAACACTGTGGATTTAGCAACATAGCTAAAACATCTGGTTAGAATTGAACTTCCATTTTTTTAACTAAACAAAATTTTAAAACATAGCATCATAACATTAAGCTCTGTTACACACAGCTCATGTTTTGGGCTTATTTTCACCAAAAGTTCTTAAAGAAACCAAGGGTTGTATACTATCTGCTGCTTTCTTACATATTTATGGCAATGGTGGCAACAGGCTGCAGAAATAATAGAAACTTTTAAAAATAAAAAAAGACATTGGCTCTGAACTCCTTTTTTCTTTAAAGCAATCTGGGCTATTTCAACAATTCAAATTCAAAAACTGATTTCTATTGTGGCTTTCGCAACTACATGCCCACATGTAGAAAGGATCCCTTTCCTTTGATTTGGCTTTCTTTTATTATTCCTTTCCTTTTTCATAACTGAAAATAATTTGTATTTTAGAAAAGATATGTTCTATACACCATGCCTGCAGCAACATATCTGTAACACTGGCTCTGACAGCATTTTGCTTCATAAATGTCAATAATACACTCTCATTGAATCTGGACGAAGTCAATACTACAATACAGATAAGCTGCAGCCTCAGCTACGCATAACTTGTAGACTCAAAAGTCCATAGTCTCTTCTCTCCTTCCTTTTGGCCTATTATAAAAATAATTTTGGTTACAAGTGTCTACACAGCACCAATTTTATTTCAAAAGCAGCATTTTTACTTAGCCACCCAAATAAATCTATAAGTACACATGCTCAAATAGCTTTTCTCATTTACTTCTGTTCTGTAACTCTTAACAGATCGGTAATTATATTAGATTTTGTCTCAATCAAAAATTATTCAGCAATTATTAAAACCATCAGTACAATGCCCTAAAAATACCCACATCCACCGAATTAAATGAGAAGTTCCCCTGACATGCAACTGTATAATAGAAGAATTATGCCTGCAGTTGATGGACACTGTGTTCTGTAATAACAGAAGGAACAGGTCTCTAATAGTAAAAAAGCATTTCATAAAACTTTGTCATATATAAAATATCTTATTAATTGTGACCATTCCACTTATGATTAAAGCATAACATAAGTGTTTGCTCTGCCTTCTGCTGTGGGACAGTCAGACAACCTCGAAAAATAAGAGTGCATGTTTTCCAGGCTGACAAAAGCAATGGGCTCAATTACACTATTTTTCTCTCAAACTCATCTACACTCATGCGCACATACAGAAAGCACCCACAGTTTTAATCTTCATGACACTGTGGCCACACTTTTTCCCCACTTGCAAAAATCTGTCATGAAAATGTGATTGCAAAATAATTATTCTTGTCTATACCCGGCCTGGATCTCCATTGCTCATTTTTGTGATTTTGAAAGATAAAGTCTGTAGCAGAAGGAGAACAGGCCTCATTCATCTTTCTCAAACCCTTTGGTTTCCACCTTTAATGTTACAGTGAATGTAGATTTGACTCAGTAGGCCCGGGTCAAAGGCTTTACAGATACTGAACCTGAAGTGCGTTAAGAGAATAAACATCTGCTGTTATGGCATAGGAACATTTAAAAAGTAGCAATAATAAACACAACTCCGTGTATGTGAAGAATTTACAAGAGTCATCTAAAAATTTCATAAGAAATTAAAGAATTTGTAGGAGGGATGAAATCATATAACAAAGGTCAAAAGGTCAAATGCAGTCAGATACTGATTACATTCTTTGAAAAATACTTCATGTGCACACCTGTCCCAGTTACGCTAAGTCTTTCTCAAGTCCCCCATCTGTAAACATGGTGGACCAAGAAAGGGATTACATTGACTAACAAAGGAATAGAAGAACAAACAAAAAGATTTCAGAGTAGATAAGGAACTAGCTTTTAAAGAAAAGTGCTTTAAATATGCTTTTGTAAAAAATATGACTTGGAGGCAATTCTGAAGTTTTGACATTTATACTTTACTCACAGATTAGGCAGAGTTGTTCTTCTGTAGAGGCAATGGAATTGAGATGTAAAACAAAAAGAACTGTTCAATTATGACATCACAAAATCCCAGGGAAGAACTGGGAACCAAAGCTCTCTTTGATTAAAATTTCCCACTTTTAATGCAAAGTGCAAGAGCAAGGGCTTCAAATGATGACACAGGCAGGAAAGTCACAACACTCCTCTTACCATATTCCACCCACTTTCCTCCCTCACACACACTGCAGATGTTGATCAGCTAATTCTCAACTCTCCTGGCGTGTATATCTATTACTCCATTGGATTCTTCACAAAGTCAGGCCTCTGTTCCTAATAGTTTAAAGTAATGAAAAAGATAGATACAAAGAAATACATTCAATAAGCAAAAATAAAAGAACTCTAGAATCTGATATATTTCATGTTAGGGAAGTAACAGTTGATATAATGTGTGAGGAACATTAAAATTGAGACAGTTACATACAAAGAGATCAGACTGCTCTGCCTGTGCTTCCAGAAGAACAGCCAGTTTTCCTGGAGTTTTAACTCTCCATCTACGCTTCTTCCAGATCCTAACAGAGTTATACGTTCTGACTGAGTACCTGAGATCAGAATCAGGTTGAAAAATGCTTAAAACACTTTAATTTCAAAAGGGAGAAATGAAAAAAAAAATCACCCAAGTTGAGAAATAAGAAGTTAATTATGGACAGAATAAAACAATTAGGTAAACATGTGCTGACACAAATCAAACTGAAAAACTGAACCAAAAAAGGCAAGGAGGGAGAGGGAGGAACTGGGAGAGAGAAGTGCTGGCCCTTCCTGTAAAGTTCCTTGTTTTCTGATTTAAACTCTCTAAGACACCCTTCTGAGGGGAATATGCTGTTCGTGCTATCTTCACAAGTACCCTAAATGGTAATGATAACCAAGTGGTAGACAAATCCCGGTGAACACAGTAAGAAGTCGGTGATTTCTTAGTCATCATTCATGAGGGAGGGCACACGGACTGCAGATGTGGCCAATTCTGCTGGCTGAGCCGAAGAAATCTGTGGTAGAAAACACCAAAAACAGCCCCCTACCCATTCTAGGGGGAAAAATATACAAATCCCTCCCGAAACCTAAATAAAACAAAACAAAACAAAAACAACCTTCTCCCTCCTAAAGAAAACCACATTGGAAACAAATGCCCTGCAAGAAGTCCTTATGTGTGTGTTTTTACAAGGCTGGTAGAGGTTATTTTGTCTTGGATTCCACATAAATCTTATCTCCATCCCTAATGCCAAAAGAATGCAATGCCCGAGAGCTGTACTTCATTTCCTCTGGGCCAAAGGGCGCTTCGTGGTCAAAATAGTAGAGAAGCATGTTGCTTGTGGGTAATTGCACTAGAGTTTTTAATTGTTTCTTTAGTTCTGCAACAGTTTGGTCCAGACGAATGCTCATTTCTTCCACCTGATCGTTAAAGTGGACTTCTACTTTTGCACTGCTCTGGGGTCTTAGGTCCACTTCTGCCAAAGGCTCCAGTTTCCCATATTTTGTGATCAGTTCATGATACCTAGAAGAATAAAAAAAGTGTCAGCTTAGTCATTAGCACATGAACTATGGGCTTCTTCAGAATTATAGGTAAACTACACTGCTACTCTCAACATCTTTCTAATATCCTATTCTAAGATTATCTCTATCTATCTATCTATCTATCTATCCGATGACTATTGTGGAATTTGTGATCTGCTATGGTTGCTCTTTTGAGGCAATAGTAAAACAATGTCCTTGTGGATAGGGGAAGAGTTTCTCCTAAAGATGGTCACCATGCCTGCTGTTAATCATTATGTAAGAATAGGTTTAGAGAGGAAAAGAGAACCTAGAAAAGTAGACACTGCAAAGTTATAGAGATAAGTCTAACTGCTCTGTAGAACTTGCTTTCATTTTTTTTTTTTTTGGTGAGGAAGATTGGCCCTGAGCTAACATCTGTTGCCAGTCTTCCTCTTTTTTTTTTTTTTGGCTTGAGCAAGATTAGCCCTGAGCTAACATCTGTGACATTCTTCCTCTATTTTATATGTGGGACGCTGCCACAGCATGGCTTGATGAGCAGTCTATAGGTCTGCGCCAGGAATCCAAACCCATGAACCCTGGGCCGCCGAAGTGGAGTGCGCGAACCCAACCACTATGCCACCAGGCTGGCCCCAGAACTTGCTTTCGTGGATGTCAACATCAAGAAGGGCAGATATCTACGCACATGTTCCTTGGCAATAGATGGGAATATGGAAGTAGGCAAGCAGTTTCTGACTCCTGGAGGAGCCATAACTTACAAATAAAAACTAGTGTTTGCTAGCTGTTACTCCAGCTTTTTCAGTGATGCCTTGTTTGAGTGTTCCAGCCTAGTCTCATCGGCTGTAATACAAAGACTTTGTGGAAGAGTCAAGAATACATTCTTGTAAAAAAGTGGTAAATGAGGGATACAAGTTCCTTGATCAAAGCAAGAATAAAGAGCAAAAGACATCAAGAGGGGAGTGAATCAGAGGCGAGACTAGGGCCCGCAAGGTCAAGATCCCCATTTGGAAAGTCTTGTCTCCACTGCCAGCCTGGAAGGATCTAGGTCTGATTTTACTGAGGAAGCTCAGCAGTTTCATACAAACCAGAGAGGGAAAAGTGCTAAAGAGATTGGATATTAGCTTTATTAGACACATCGAGGTTAATTCAGGATCAGAATACAGTGGTCACATAAGATTATTCCCCCACCTCCCTCACCCTACTTTTGGCTTCAATTCATTCAATCAATTGCCATGTCCCACTAATTCCATTGCTAAATATTTCATGAATCTATCTGCATCTCTCTTGCCCACTTGCCTTGTAAATTCAAGCCACTATCATTAATAACCTGGATTGCTACAGCTTTCTATGGATGCACAAGCTGGAAGAGCTGCCTCAGTATCTCTTCCAACCTCCTCCTGGAATGCCTTCCTGTACTGCAAAGACTAGAATGCTGAAAACTACATTTCCCACACTCTTTTGCAGGTGAAGTTTAGCTTCTATCAATCACATTCAACGGCCCTGGGGAGAGATACGGTGGATCTAGGAGACATGGTGTGGGAATAGTTTGGGTGGAGGCTTCCTAATTACCAATTGCAATTCAAGCAGTGTGTTCCTGGAGTCAACACCTCTGGCAGCAGCTTGCTGATCTCCAGACCACAGTTAAGGTGGTTGTGACCCAGCACCAGGGACAGCAGCTTCCTGAGTCTCCCCTTTTCTGATTCTAGCAAAGGTACCAGCGCTCTTGGTGGGCCAGTTCTGTGGTACCGTTCTAGAGGCAATCCTAGGGAAGCAGCCCTTCCAAAGATTTTGTAAGTATCTTACCCCCTGTATTAAATCACTTTCTTCTTAAAATAGCTAGCATGGCTTCCGTTATCTATCACCGAATCCCAACGATACATACTTCAAATGATTTCCCACGATTTCAGGATGGCCCCACACTGATCCTTGTCTATATTACAGCCAGCATGATTGTTATAAGACACAAATTTGACCGTATCACTCCTCTACTTAAAATCACACAAGACCCATCAGAATAAAGCCCCAAATCTTTAACATGATTGTGGTAGGCAGAATTTTGGCCCCCATGATCTTTGTCCCCTGGTGTTATTCTCAAGATTATATTATGTTATATGGCACAGATGACCTTAAAATAGAGAGATTAACTGGATGGGCCTAATCTAATCGTATGAGTCCTTAAAGCAGAGAAGTTTCTCCAGCTAGCAGAAGAAGAGGAAGTCAGAGAGATTCCAAGCATGAGAAGGACTTGATGTATCATTGCTGGCTTGAAGATGAAGGGGGCCACATGGAAAGCATGAGAAGGAACAGAATTCTGCCACCATCCTGAATGAGTCTGCAAGGTGATTCTTCTCCAGAGCCTCCAATAAGGAATGCAGTCCTGCTGACCCCCTGATTTTGGCCTTGTGAGACCCTGAGCAGAGAACCCAGTTGACCCACACTGCGCCCACACTTGTGACCCACAGAAACTGTGACATAATAAGTAGGTATCGTTTTAAGCCACTAAGTTTATGGTAATTTGTTGCAGCAGCAATAGAAAACTAATACAATGACTATAAAGGCCCTTCATGAACTGGTTCCTTCATAACTTTCCAACTTTATTTTGTGCCATCAACATTACTACTTTCTGAATCTGCCTTTCCACTTGTTTAAATCTTAAAATCAATGTTTATTTATTAATTTGCAGGCAAGGCCAGCAGACTTTTGTGCACGGATAAAAGTTTGGATATGGCCTATAACAGATGTTCACTCTTTATTCTATAAAAATGAAGAAAAAGTATTAGAGTTGTGACTCACTACACACACTGAATATGTTCCCTTAAAAATTACATAAATAAAAACAATGATTTCAAGATAATATGTTTACTCCCAATTATCTTATTTTGGATTATCTTTAAGCAGGGAAAATCAGTACATATAAGAAATCATGATTTTACAAAATGCCCAGGAAATTTTAGAAACCAATTTCTTCCTAGTCTTCAGCTTAGATATTTTATTCATTATTCAAAAGTCCACCCAAATTGAACTGTATCTGCATACTCTGTATTATCTGAGCTTTTCTTCACATCAGCTCCAACGCTATAGTCTTAAGAGGTAAATGGTTTTTTCTTCCCAGAGCCATAGTCTTAAGAGGAGAATGGTTTCTGATGACTAAGTATTCTTCAAAACTAATGATCCCAACTTCTATTTTACCAGTTAGTACTTCTATCTGATTATTAAAAAGTATTTAATGTTTATAAGTCTCACTCCTGAAGTGGGCAAAATGTTATAAACCTACTTTGGAAGATATTATTGACAAGGATGTATTGCAATAATCAAATGTTAAAAATGTAATTTATACTATTTTTGTGTTCAGAAGTTGAAAATGTGAGCACCATTCCCCCATGACCTTCTAATAGAAAATGACCAATCACAAGAGAAACAAAATTTACTACACACAGCATAAAGGCCAGCAAGACCACATGGGCAACTGAGAATGATAAATGGAAACCAAATGCTAGCTGCAACCTTGTGAAGAACACTTTGTTAGTGCTGTCAAGTCGATTCCAACTCCTAGCGATCCTGTGCACAGCAGAGCAGAACCCTGCCTGGTCTTTTTGTGCCAGCCTCTCATCTACTGGTGCTATATCAGGCAATGCTCTGCTATTAATCATAGGGTTTTCATGGCCAATTTTTTCGGAAGTGGGAGGGCAGGTCCTTCTTCCTAGTCTGTCTTAGTCTGGAAGCTCCACTGAAACCTGTCCACCATGGCTGACCCTGCTGGTATTTGACATACTGGTGGCATAGCGTTTCAGCATCATAGCAACACGTAGCTGCCACAGTATGACAAGTGACACACGCATGATGTGGTTCCCTGACTGGAAAATGAACTCAGGCCGTGGCAGTGAGAGCGCCGAATCTTAACCACTAGACTACCAGGGCTGGCCGTGAAAAACACTACCCACAGGTAAACTGGCATTGTGCTTTTTTTTTCTTTCCTGGCATTGTACTTTTTTTGCTTCCTATTAAATAAAAACACCCCCCGAGAGAAAAGCTGCTTTCAGCTTTCAACATTAAGGGTCTTTGACTCATAAGCAGTTAAAAATCAGGCTACTGGTAAAGTGAGGTGGAAGGTGGCACTAACAAAGAGGGGAATGAAGAATGAAGCCATCCTTAGTGGAGCTGGGGTAGCTCCACTCTCAATGCACATAAGCAAACCTTCACACACTAGGGCTCCCTGCTCCATGGCACCCCTGTCTAACGTGACAGAATCATGAGCAGATTTTAGCATGATGGTCAGGCTGAGAGGGGTATGCTCCTTTCTCCTTATTGCCTATTTTCACTCTTGATTCCTAAGATACCTGGGAGCACTTTCTCAATAACAATTCAGTCACAGGTCTATAATTCTAGAATGAATGAAGACTTGGCACACTACTTGAAAAAGACTGCAGGTTCCTACCGTAAACCTTAGTGTGAGGGTGAATTTACAATAAAAACTAAAACCAAAAGATGGGTAGAGAAAAAAGGTGAACTGATTCTCAGCTCTGAGTAGCCTTATAAACTATCTTAACTAAATAATACAAGCATTCAATATTTCACATAATTTTCAGGAAATTGCAAAACTAAAGTTGGCTTAGAACCAGGGGCTTTTAGGTGGCAGAAAGCTTCCACATTTGGACCTCATGTCTCCAAATCCATAAAAGCAGCAGCTCACAATCTCAAGGAGAATCCTAGAGAAAAATGATGGGATTTACATTTTATGCAGGTGCCTATACCACAATGGGATTCCTAGAGGTGATCTATCCATCACTTACAACTGCCTAGACGTGTGCTCACAGGTGGCCTATGTGGTAGTCTTGAGCTAACAATTATGTTAATCTATTGTTCATCAAATGCAGACTCATATTGAATCAACTGGAGTCTTTATTCTAAATGAAGCTATCTTGCTCAAAATTAACCCCTAGTACATACATTTCTCTTTAAGAAATACAACAAATAAAACATGAAAAATCTCAGATGGTTCACTTG